GGGGGGGGGGGGGCGGAGCTTGGTCGCCCAGGAGGCCGGAGGGCAGCGACAACCTGGTGTGCCGGCCGCCTCAGACCTTGCGCACAGACGACCGCCGCCTCCGGTTGCAGGAAGGGCGTTTACAGTGCGAAGAATTGCTCGGATCAAACGATATGATAGCTGCTCATTTGCCTGTTGCTCTGTGGCCCCGCCCAGGCTGCCCGCTGCGAGGGCGCCGAGCTGCGCCGGCAGCTCGCGGCACAAGCCGCAGCGTCGATGGCGGACCTGCGGGCTGAGGTGGCGTCCGAGGCGCGCGATATCGCGGGGCTGGAGATCGGGCCCGAAGTCCCCCTGGCCGTGCAGGCTTACATGAGGGTGAGAAGCGCAAACGCAAGCGTGCTGCTCACATTGCAGTTGTGCAATAGTGGCGTTGGTGAGAAGTCATATGCTCCAAGTCGAGAGCAACGGTGGTGCTTGCTTCAGAATGTGCGTGTGTGTGTGTGTGTGTTTGTGTGTGTGTGTGTGTGTGTGTGTGTGTGTGTGTGTGAATGCGGCTCAGGGTGCCGTCCATCACCCTCATGGTCCAATGCGCTGTCCGTCTGGCCCCGCTACCGCTAGGTGCTCGAGCGCAGCGTGGAAGACGGCGAGGCGCGCTGCCAGCAGCTGGCGGCCGACACGCTATCCGCCGCCGGCGCCGAGCGCGCCGCGCGCGCCGCGCTCGCCGCAGCACGAGAGGGCGCAGCGGCGGCGGAGCGCGCGCTGCAGCAGCAGACGCGGCGGCTGCACGCGCTGGAGGGGATACGGCTCCAGGACGTGCAGGTGTGTCGTCGGCACGCGTTGGTGGAAGTGCATGGTCACCTTGTCAATGGGCTGTTTGTGGTACATGGCCACGCATTCCTATGCATGTAATTATGGCACTCCAGCCGTGCTCCTGGGAATGTCATCGCTGCCGTCAGCATCAACGTGATCCGTCTGAGTGACAATTTCAAAGGCCTTAGCCGGCCTCCAGTCCAACGAAACATACAGAACGCGCCCTTGCATGTGCCCCTCATGTGTGCGCGGCGCCCTTAACCCAACAGGAGCTGCACGGCCTCGAGAAGCGCTTGGCGCTGAGTCAGCAGGAGGTCTGGGCGCTGCACGGCCGTCTCTCGCAGGAGCGCGCAGCCCGCGCCGGTGCATCCGCCTCGGTGGTTTGCGGGGATGTCGCCAGTGCAGATGCTGGGTGGGTTGACCAGGTGGATGATCTGGAACCAGAGGACGCAGCCCTTGTGGCGGCCGAGCTGGCGCAGGAAGTGCAGCAGCAAGCAGTGGAGGCTCGGAGCAGCGCAGCGTGCAGAGCATGCGGGCCCGGACGGCCGGCGCCCGCACCAGCAGCAGGAAGCGCGGCGGGTGCGGCGGAAGCAGCAGCAGGCGCGTCAGCCAGAGCGGTGGCAAAGCTGAAGGCAGCGGAGGCAGCAGCAGCAGAAACAGGCGACGAGGGCCGGCACGGCGACTGTCCGGATGGCGGCCACGAGCGCTCTCTGGAGCGCCAGGAGCCGCAGGCCAAGACCATTGGCGGCACCGGCGGCGCCGGCGAGGGCTTTGGCCCGCTGCTGGCTTCTCTGCTCTCTGACAGCGGCTGTTTCCAGCCGGCGCCTGGGGCCAGCGACGGCGAGGCCGAGGCCGCGGGGGACGAGGATGGCAGTGAGCAGTTGCACGAGCAGCGGTGGGAGCCCTGGGACGCAGGCCGATGGCGGATGTAACGTGTTTGGGCAGCAGCAACAGCAGCAGCCGCAGCCCACCTCTTTTGCAGTAGCAGCAGCAGCAGCAGCAGCAGCAGCAGCAGCAGCAGCAGCAGCAGCAGCAGCGCCAGCAGCACCGGTGCCCCACCAGTACCAGAAAGCTGCGCCCAGCGATGAATCGCCAGCGCTCGAGCGCTGTCCTTGGCGGCTGCAGCATGGCCTCTGGGAGCTGGTGGGCCATCAGAGTCAACGCCGGGCCAGCAGCGCCTCGGTGTAAAGCTATGCAGCAGCAATCAGATGACTTGCAGGGTGCATGGCCGCTGCTTCGGCGCCCCACAGACGGGAAGCGCGAAAGAGTTTGCAGCTGACGGAACCAAAGCTTAGCACAGTGTCCACTTCACTGCTGCACGCGGTGCTGCTGCCCCGGGGACGGATGCCGGCCATCGGCGGCGCCGCCGCTGCCGCACTGGTGCGGCGGTGCCCACAGCTGATAAGGTGCATCCCTGAACGCGTCGAGGCCAGATCTAAGCTGCTGCATTTGGAGTTGTTTAGACGCGACGGCGCCGCAATGGTCTGGCGGGGTGGAGAGCCCCGGCGAGTCATGTGGTCGACTGTACAGTTTCTGGTCAAGTCTGGTGTTTTTTTTGTCCGTGTGCATCGTATTCAAGGTTATGGTAGCAGGCAAAGCAAGTTGTGCAACCTCAACCCGCTACATTGCAGAATGTAGCACATGAGGCCAGTAACAGGCGTAGTGCACCAAGCTGCTGGCGGATGGACAGGCACAAGGCAAGTATGATGTCGCGGCACAATCGAGACAGGCCACCGTCACCAGAACCCAGTGACATTGCATCAGCTGGGCCCTGAAGTTCTCTGCAAGCAGAAACACGTACTCAAAGCTAGAAAATTCAGGCAGCGAAGGCTGTAGACCAGCATGCAAGGAGTCAAGGCTCCCAGGAGTGGCAATTGTTGTTGCGCCCTCACTGTTTTGATCGCTGCAGCGTTACAGGCAATGCTGGGGGAGCTGCCAATGGTCAGTTTTTTGCGCCTGATTCTGTGCTACATGATTTCTGTGCGCAATTGTGATCCATCACACAGCGTAGTGTGCACAAAAACTCCTGGCAACTTGGTTGCCGCGGCACTGCGCAGCACTTCAAGGGCATGCCCAAGTGCTCCACCTGTACAAGCTCACAGGTGCAGTCAGGCAGCGCCGCATCGCCCGCTGCCGGTGATACATTTTCCACCATCGTATATATGACCTCTGAGGCGCTCTCTCGTGCGCTCATGGCGTAAATGCAACAATTGCCAATGGGCAGTTGCAAGTGTCGCCTTGTGTCGAGATCCATACGCTAGCTTGTGTTCCGTCACGAGCAGTATCCTGTCTGTTAGTGAACGATTATCGTCGAACATCTGAGCTCGTCATGTAGATTCCACCAACACGGCACTGGTTACAAAATTGATCTGAGAATTTTGGAGTTTTCGCAAGTTCAACGGGTCCCAACGGCATGGGGAGCAACGCCAGGCTCCAGGTATTGTGTGTAGATATGCAGCGTGCGCTGCGCAACCCATATCGTCGAAGCGGTGTTTAGCGCACATCAACGGCGGTCGCGCTTGCTGCTGCCGCGGCACATGTCGCTCTCCCAGGTGCCGATAAAGCTGACGCTGGCTCAATCGGACAACGTCAGCTCTGCACCAGTCAAGCCTGTGTATGTGAGTGATGCTGGGGTCATGCCCTGCTTGCTGCTGGCCTGAGTAGAGGGCAGCCCGCAGCACGCTTCAGTCTGAGCTGGCAGTTTTTGGATGTGTGTTGCATGCTCCCACGCGCTCTGCACCCCGCGACCCCGGCAGCTGCTGGCCTCGCGGCAGTCTTACCTACCGGGACTGGCGGAGCAGGTGCTGTGCAGCTTTGAGGTGCGAGGTTGGGCGGGGGGGAGGGGGAGGGCGGGCCCAGCAGGGG